AGCTAGAGATAATACACCAGAGATACAAGAGGAGAAGGGAATCCTACATCCTCAACTCAACTCATACCACTCTCTAATTTAGAGAGAGCCTCTGCTCCTATCTCCCACAGATCTCTACCACGCTTCCTGTCTCGGATGTCTTCACCTGCTATTCTTGAACTTGCGTAACCAAGATATCCGACACCTCATGATTGGATGTCCTGCACCCCCTGCTGGGATGCCCTTGACTGTCATGCATTACCTCACAGGACCAGTCATTGGAGCAATAGAAAACTCGTTGTTTATCCATTAACGTCCTCGGTTTTCTTTGCTCGGAGCTTTTCCTCTGAACTATCATCTTTTGCCCTCTGCACTTCTGAACAACCTCTAGCATTTCCACATACACTCATTGTCAGTGCTTTTGCAATCCCTGATTTGCTATCCAGTAGATTAATGGTTGACAGTAGCTCCATCTGTCAAAGCATCGTCAGCTATGCAACTCCTTTCATAATGCTCACACCCATAACTTCTGGTCTCCCTGTGTCGAGCTTGCTTGAGAGATCCACATCAACTCTATCCTCTGCTGCCATGGAACTAAATAAACCACCATAGAGAAAAGAGACTTGTCACTCCTTGGCGCGCACTCTTGCGTTTTATCCATCTTAATTTCTCTATCTAGAAGTTCCTGTGAACTTTCAACAACCCGTTGCTACACACTCTTCTCGCGCCTCTGTACGACACTCTAGTGTACCCTTGCACTGTTGCACGTCTGCATTTGTGCTTCTGAGCTTAGTATGCTCCTCTGCAACTATTGCTCTACACATCCACATACCGTCAGTACTTACACATATACAGTAGCTCCAATAGCCACAGCATTTCCTTAAGCCTGTACTTGTTGCCAAATCATCTATCCATTGATGAATGGACTTTTTGATTGAACCAGATCTAGATCTTCTGATCAACTCCGGAGATAATCATCTCTGCAATCCTCTAATCGCCCCTGACCAATCCTGATCTCCCTTGAATTGCCATTTGATCAAGCTGATCTCCTTTGGTCTTCAATGATCTGTCTCCTTTGGTCCTCAATGATCTATCTCGATTTGTATCTAGTTGTCCAATCTGGTCAGAATCTGCCCATTCTAACCTCTTTAGTGAATCCGCAGCGTTCCACAATAACTAGCAACCTTCCTTCGACTATTTGAAGATGACAAAGTCCCATGTTTTGACAATCTTTAAAAACCGTTCAGAATTTCACTATTATGACCTCACGGTTGCGTCCAGAACGGTCCGTTTAGCTAAGACCAACCTTCGCTGTATTTTCGGGGACCTCACTGAAACATTTCCCCGAAAGTTGGGCCACACCACAATTTTCTAAAAATTCTAGGCCAAATTGCAATTTTTGAAAGTTTAGGGAATATTCCGTGTTCCAACAGAATATTTCGTCCACTGCACCTAACGCCGTCTGCCACTTTGATCTTCTTTCTTTTAATAGAAATTCTTATTCCAAAATTCGACCGTACGGATGTGTCCGAAATACTTCAAATAGTTGGAAAACATTATTGGATCATCAGAAATGGACTCCGAATGGCTTAGATCAAGCCAAAACATTTTGGACGCCTCAGATCTACGGCTACACCTTAGCCGCGCGAAGCACTGGATCCTTTCTCCTACGGCTGCACCACAGCCGCGCACCACTGGATCGCTCCTCCGTATGCTGACGTGGCAGATGACGTGGCGTTGACTGACTACCACGTGGCGATGACTGGTCTGTCACGTGGCGCTAACTGGCCTGCCACGTGGCACTGACTGGACTGATGACTTGGCAGACACATGGCAGTCTCTGGCCGATGACAGTGCCACGTGTCGATGACGTGGCGCTGACGTCACTCATACGCGCGCTACACTCGCCTTCTTCCTTGCGCCGCGCGTGTGGCGTGTGGATGCGCGTGGGCTAACGTGCCGATACAGGTAACGGCGCGTGAAGCGCATACCTACAACTGAGACTCACACGCCATCTTCATAGGGCACGTGAGAGCGCGTGGGTCATCCTTTGGGGTTCTGCTTTATATTTCTGGACTCCTCTTGTCGAGTCCTTGTTCCTGGTATACTCAAAACCTGATTTCGAGTAACTTGATTTCTAGGCAGTCTCAAAAATCACACTGTTTTTGTTTCGAAACGCCGCCGACGAGGGTCTGATACCACTTGTAGAGATCGGGGATCCCGCCCAAGACCTTCCAGTAATCATACCAAGCAGAAAAACACACCCACACCCAAGGAGACACAATATTTAACGTGGTTCGGCCTCAATGCCTACGTCCACGGGAGAGTAACCGGTTATCACTATAATAATGAAGAGATTACAGAAAGATTACAATAGAGGAGGAGCTCACACTATCCTTACTCAGCCACTCTCCCGTCTCTCTCGCTCACACCGAGAGAGACGGTCTCTCCACCTCACATCTCTCACTCTTTTTGGTTTGCTCGGTTTGCTCACAATTGCTTAAGCTCTCTCTTCCTCTATTTATACACAAATGAGAGGACATTGATTGGTCACCACCTACCCCTTCCACTAGCTAGTGGGGTAGGTGGAGTGGGAGAGCCATTATCCATAGTGGAAGAGCTTACAATGGGTTGACTCCAACAGGAGCCTTCCTTGATTCTTATCAATAAAGTTTAATCTTTGCTGATCAAAAAAAAAAAAAAATCACTTCCAGGATCTTAGTAGCTCTAATGCCACTTTGTTAGAAATAAATTGGCCACACAACAATCGCTCACAAATTTGGAAGATCTTAGTAGCTCTAATGCCACTTTGTTAGAAATAAATTGGCCACACAACAATCACTCACAAATTTGGAAGCAAATTAGAGAAGGAAAAGATGCAACTCTTGTATTTCACTCATGTTATTCTCATTGCATTCTCATTATATTCTCCTACTAATTTTTATCCTCATTACATAAATTGCATGACTATATATAAGATTCTAACATGTAACTCACACACTCACATTAAGGCCCGCTAACTCTATTATGCTTTGTAACCACTAACACATTAACATACTACTAATGCTCTTAACACACCATCATGCATCATTACATGCATATCATTATTCCTCCATAATTAGCATAACTAAATATAGGAAATATAACTCCTAATAATAAAAACAAAATTTATTATTTTCAACAAAAAGATTTTTCGAAAAGTAAAAATAGAGCTTTTAGTGACAAAATTTTAATAATGTTGTCAATAATTGAGTACAATGGAAAATAAAATTATTGTTTCAGTAAGGAATAAACAATTTTCACGAAAGTAATTCCCTTGTGAAATTTTACTACTACATGTCGGCATAAAACACAATAACAAAAAATAATAATAATAATCCATCATATCTTAGACATATGAAGCAGGGAAGGAAGGGTAAGAAACTGCATAGAAAATTTCTTGTACAAATATTCCTGAAAGTAAAAAAGAAAAAAGAAAAAAAAAAGCATTTTCATTGTTACATTGTTTGTTATTAATTTCTTTCCAATTCAAGATATTATATGCTTGTATTTAATTTCAGAAAGCACCAAAACACTATTGGATTGGAACAAAGATTTGGCCAAGGAACCAGATATGTATGGTTGAACACCACTTCATTATGCGGCCCGATTTGGTCATGTACACTACAGGAAATTGGGGATTTAATGGCATTTAATTAATGGCGTTTTATTAAACGTCACTCTTTCTAACAATTAACGGCATTTTTTAAATGTCGCAATTGTTATTAAGTAAAACGGTACCGTTTTGTTTACTGAAGACGTTTAAAAAGCGCCTCCAAATCATGTCTCTCTTCACACCCACTTCTGTCTCTCCAAACCTTTATGTTGAAAACCCTATCTTGAGCACCGCCACCTCTTTCTCACTCACTCAAATCTCGGTCACTCTCTTGCTCTCACTCAAATCTCTCTCGATTCTTCTTCAGTTCAGTGATTCTTCTTCATTCTTCTTCAGTTCGGTGATTCATCTCAGGATTGCAATTTCGAACTTCGATTTTGAGCACGACTTCACGATTTATCTCCGTGGATTTGGAAGTCTTCGTCTTCTTCAATCAGAGGTTAGTTGCTATCTCTTTCTCTCATTCAAATCTCTCTCGATTCTTCTTCAGTTCAGTGATTCTTCTTCAATTCCTTTCCAGTTCGGTGATTCATCTCGGGATTGAGATTTCGAAGTTCGATTTTGAGCACAACTCCATGATTTATCTCTGCGGATTTGGAGCTCTTCGTCTTCTTTGATCAGAGGTTAGTTGTTATGTGTGTGATTTATCTCTGTTTCTTCTGTGCTCTGGATCAATGTTTTGAAAAATGTTGAATTAGTGTTTTGAAAAATTAGTCTCAGTAATTTCATGTCTGTTTCAATAATTGTTTTTCACTGATGTTTTGCTCTGCTCTATGAGATCTAGATTGTGCTCTCAGTAATTGGTCTCAGTGATTTCATCTATGTTTATATTGTGTTCGATCTGTCATCAATGTGGTTATGGATTTTGATTTTTGTGAATTCGTGTGTGATTGGTTGATTCTGTTTGGAATTGTGGAATTTGCTGATCTGAGTCGAGATGGTCAGATCATAGGGTTCTTCTCAATGTCTATTTTTGAATTACAATTTAATTTATATTATTATTTATTGGGGATTTTTTGACTTTGCTCCCTAAAATTATGTTGTGTTTGGTGGAATACAAATTAAGGAGTTGGGAGAGACCACCAGTTTTAAGCACCATCAGCAAAAGCAGTCACAGATTTCTGCCTATCATACAACCCAAGGTAAATAAGGTGCTCCATTTTGATCTTGAGGTGAGGAAAAAAGAAGAAGAAATGATCATGGTCTCTCATTTAGGTGAGAAAAGACTTTGATAAAAAAAAAAGTAAAATTCATGAATTGCATTGACATCATCTAGTATCTTGATTGGTCTATTGGGTTATCGACCATAGACTGTTGGCTAAATTAACTAATTGATTTAACTTCAATACCCCATGGTTTTATATACCTATGTGTCAGTTGAAATGAACTATGCAAACATTGAATTGCCCTGTTCGAATGTGGCTTCCTTAATTGTTTAAACGTTGGGCCAGTTTGTTCAAATGCACATTGTTCTACCTTGAACAATGCTCTGTCCTAGTTTGTATGTTCAAACGCAGACATTGTGATCGTGTGCTGGGCAGAGCTTGTGGAGGATAAAGTCAAAGTGAGAGACTGGACAGAAGTGGATAGCGAATTGCTCAGTGTTAGAGCAGGTACCATCTGTGCATCTGAATCTACTTAATCTTGGAGCACAAGTGGTTTGTTTGTCCCATGGTTTTTTACCCTTTTGGGTTTTCCACGTTGAATAGTATCTCTCTGTGTGATTGCTTATTTCTATTTATTAATTGGCTCTTAACTCAGTAATATCTAGTAAATCTGCTAATTTTAAAGACTCCTATTTAGTTTTTTAGAATTTGTTGATAGATAGTAAATTTTGATCATAGTGAATGATTTTAACTATTTGTCTTGTGAGTATTAATCTTTCTCCTGACCATATTCCTCTCCCAGAGAAGTAAAGAGGTTATATTTTTATTAATATTGTTTATAAAAGCACCTCATTTCTAGTGCATATAATGTAGAATCACAGTTTTTATCATGTGTATTTAAATAATGGTATGTTGCAGATGGCCTTTTATTGAAGGCTCTTGAGTATGTGGCTTGCAGATCTGGTGATTCTGCAGAAAGTAAGCCATCTTTTGCTTTGACCACAAAGAGTTATCTGCTTATAAATGGTCCTGTATTGTTTTCCATTTTATGTTTTCAATTTTTCATCATAATTTGGAAAAAGATAGGAAAATGCTAAATTGCTTGTGAATATTGTTATACGTGGTGGGCAATCAGTCTCCAAGCTATATATGGAAAACTCTGTAGTTTAATCCCAAAAAGTTGATCAATCTGTTTCGTTATTGATTTAAACCAAATTTAAATCATAGTTTTTTATTTTTAGGACAGATCCTACCAAAGACTTGGATACCAAATTTAGTGCTGACATATATAATAGTATAGATATATATACTAGTGTTGATGCATTTGTAATATTATATTAAATTTTTCATTAGTTTGATGGTTGAAGAAAATTGATTAGCTGTTTTGGTGATTTTTAATGAGGGTTCTACTAACAAGGCACAAGAAGAAGACCAAAAAAAAGTGCACTTTTTATTGACTTCGTAATTTCACCCTTTTTTAAACTATAATAATTTTTACACAAATCTCAAACAATGCCAATGGGGCACTTATTAGCATTTGACTGTGATGAATGAAAAAAATCGTTTTACAGCTTTTGACTGTGGTGATAATTGAATGTGAATGATATTTTTGAAAAAATAAAAAGCGTGACAATGTTTGCACTAAATTAGGAGTATGGTTTATATAGTAAAATAGTTGTATATGTTTGTTTTTACATACATGTATACCTTTCTTTTTGTGAGATGTACTCTTTCCTGTGGCAACATTGTTGATTGAATATATGCTTGAACTAGTTCCTGTCTCTTTTAGTGCCAATACATTGTTGTGATATTGCTAGCTATTCAACTACCAGAACTATGTGAACTTTGATGGCATAAAATTTTGAATCCCAAACTTGTCATCATGCGAGAGAATTTTTCTGAATTTTTTTAAGTTTTAGGATCGTCTAGTAGTGACAAATCTAATGACCAAATAAATCAAACTAAAATAACCAACTCCCAAAAGAAAATGTGTGACAACTGTTTTAGAAAACATAATCATTTTTCATTTGCAGAAATTCATACACAGGTTTGAATAATCAGCTATTAAATTGATGCAACTGGTAGTTAAAAGAGAAGGTAAGTTTATGTTCCGGTGGACTGTGCAGGTTCTGGGATCTTAATTGGAGCGAAGCAGGAAGTCCAGGAATGTAACCCCCCCTCAACCCAATAATTTTTTTTATCTAGCTAATAATTTTTTTTATCTAGCTAATAAATTCTTAGTTGGGTTGCATCCAAGTGTACAATACATCCATTACTTGTACAAATGCTGCTATGATTATTTAATTGACTAATTTTTTTTTTATGCTTTGGGTGTTCATGGTGCAGATATATGCGGTTTCTATTACTATTCGTATTGTGGTAAGTGTTTTAATTTAGGATGATAACTGAAACTCTTTTAAAAAAATTATTTGCACTTTTACTAGCATAATTACATATTTTTTGATAGGATCCTCTTGTCATGGCTTGTGGTCTTCCTTGTACCTAATTCTCTTTTATCTCTGTTTTGACAGCTTGGTTTTATGTTGCTCGCCCTCATATGGAGGTTTGATTTCCCACCCTTCATGGTGCTGATCATTGCCATCATCAATGATGGTTTGTATTTTGTCACACTTTACTTACCTTTTCTACATGTAGATTCATGCATATTTCTTCTCATTTTCTTGTCATTAGCCTCGATTTGTGTGTGTGTGGGGGGTTCTAAATACATACTATCTATATGGCATGCCAGGTACCATCATGACAATATCAAAGGATAGGGTGAAACCATCTCCTCAGCTTGATAGCTGGAAGCTGGCAGAAATTTTTGTAACTGGAGTCATTCTTGGTGGTTACTTGGCCATGATGACAGTCATTTTCTTCTGGGCAGCATACAAGACAAACTTTTTTCCTGTAAGAAAACTTATAACTATAGTAAATGGGTCATGAAATAGTTGATTGGATACACCTGATAGGTTATATGCCAAAGGATTTCATATTTTGTGAATTGGTGACCAACCCTGGTCCTGGCTTAACATAGTAGTTTAGATTTGCTAAAAATGCATTCCAAATTTAGGCGCCTTCACTATTCCTGTATGCAATTTTTATTATTTACTTCTAGACTGAAGTCTGAATGATTCTTCTTTCCACTGATTTATCAGTGTTATGCTTGGTCTTGAGACATATTTTCCCCTCCTTTTGTGTAATTTCCAGCGTATATTTGGGGTTTCAACTCTTGAAGCAACAGCTCATGATGACTTCAGGAAGCTTGCATCAGCAATATACTTGCAAGTGAGTATCATCAGTCAGGCCCTAATATTTGTGACACGTTCTAGGAGTTGGTCTTTCGTTGAACGTCCTGGCCTTTTGCTAGTGGTGGCTTTTGTTGTTGCTCAGTTGGTAAGTGAACTGCTATTTTCTATTCTTTTCTTTATTTTTTCCGGGAAAGTGCATCCTTAGTCCTAGTTACTTGAAGACTCACCTCTAGAATGAACTTTCCGTTTGTGTGAGCAGGTTGCTACACTGACAATAGAGGATTGATTTCAATTCCTTTTTGTGAAATCAAGAGATCAGTTGGCTGATGTTTTCAATAAAGGTTTTTGTAGTAGGATTTTTTTACCATTGTTTATGCTTAGTGTTGGTTAGTAGTAGCTTGAGGCATAATTGTGTACTTTGGATCACTTCAATATAAATGCTTTTGTTTATTGTAGGGAACCTTAATTTTGGGTCTCTTATTAGCCATGTTTACATTTACCATTGTGATTCCCCCTTACTTATTTTGCATCCCTTTTTTGTTTCCATTGATTTTGTGGCTTGATTTTCATTGTTGTTGGTTCTGTTTCAGTAACCTATGGAGGACTACATCTGAAGAAAAGAGAGAGTTGGAGCGTCTGGAAAAACCCATATATAATTCTGTTAGTTGAGCTGCAGAAGTTCATCATCAGGTTTCTATTTTCTAATTGCTCTTATATGAAACAATGCACATACAACTGCTAATATAGAAACAAAGGAATCTACTTTCTGTTAATGCTGGCGAAAACTTCAGTGAGGATTTCTACATCTGGTTTATCACATAAAACGTTTTGTTTGCCTGCTTTTAGGTTTGAAAATACATCAAAGGTATTTTGAAGCCTGGGATGTTAATGATTGACTTATGTGAAACCCTGGAGAATACCCGTCCGTAAGTTGATATGGGAGAATAGTCTACAAGCAGGCATTGCGTTCCCTACAGGGTGCTCTTTGAATTGGTAAACATTTAGTCTGGCATATGAAGATCTTTCCGGGTTCATTTTTTATTTTTATTTTTGCAATTTTTTTAGAAAGAATGGTGCTTTGCTAAGTATTGGGTACGAATTCTTCAATTTGTGTTTATTTTGGTGAATCTCATTACAGTTTATGTTATGATGCAGGCATGTAGACCACTGAAGACTACAACTTTAATGCTAAGACATGATTTTTGGATATATGGTAGTTTGTGGTTAATGTTAAGACATGATTTTTGGATATATGTTAGTTTGTGGCTAACGTTAAAACATGATTTTTAGATTTTGGATATGTTAATTTTGTGGGTAATGGTGATTGGATATTAATTGAATGAGGAAATGAATTAATGTTTCATTACAACTATTTGAATGGGAGTTGTTATTTTATATTAGTGCTATTGCAGATATTTTTTTAGTTCAATCAAATAAAATTAGTACAATTTTCAAAAAAAAAAAGATATGACGGCGTTTCTACAAACGCCTCTTAAACCTTACACACTAACGGTCATATTTGTTTAAAAAAGATATGACGGCGCTTTTCCAAAAACGTCGCTAAATGTTGTCAGTGGAGGACATTTTGTGTTAGGAGGACATTTGGCGGCGTTTTTAAAAACGCCGTATATACTAATATCACGACGTTTTTAAAACGCCATAAAGCTATAGCGACGGCCGCGTCCTCGGCGTTTGGTGCTAAGCGTCACAAAAAGAATTGGCGACGTTTTTGACACTTTTAGCGGCGTTTTTTAAACGCCACTAAAAGCTGAATTTCCTGCAGTGGTAGAAAGGGCTAAACAGCTACTAGATGTGGATAAATCCATTGCATATGTGATTGCAGACAAAGATGGTAAGAAGACAGCTCTTCATGTAGCAGCTAGTCAAGGACATGTCGGCGTAATGAAAGAGCTTCGATCACAATGTCCCGATTGTTGGGAGATGGTTAATGATAAAGGCCAAAATATTCTTCACGTTGCAGTGCAGAATGAGAACAAAAAGGCAGTCAAATTCATCTTAGAAAATTCCCAGCTCAGTAGCCTTATAAATCATAAAGATATTGATGGGAACACCCCTCTCCACCTTGCTGCTACTACGCTGCATGCAAACCGACTCATATACGATAAAAGAGCACATAGGATGGCCTTTAACAAGGAAAATCCAACTCCCCTTGATGTAACAACACACTATGAAAACATAACATTAGTAACCCAGGTAACACTTCTCAGTCCGAGAGATGGCAGGAATCTTGTGCACAAGGCCGCCTTATTGCTTTATTAATTCATTAATGTTTTCCAAACTGATTGAAGAATGATTATTGCATGCAGGCTCTCAAATGGTCAGAATAAAAAAAACGTGGTCATTCACTAGGTTGGCGAAATATAATTAGCGACGATAATGAGAATTTAACAAAGAAAATGAAAGCTAATGATGAGCTTAAAACATTTACACCCACAGACATCAAGAAAACAGGGGACACCCATTTGATAGTGGCTGCACTTATAGCAACTGTGACTTTTGCAGTTTCACTATGCCTGGTGGCTACGATGGAAACCGGGGCCCAAATCAAGGAATGGCAATTCTAACAAGAGAAACAGCTTTCAAAGCTTTTGCGGTAACAAATACCATTGCCATGATATTATCCACTTGTAATCTATTTTTTTGGGGCTCCATATAAGGATCGTGATAAGCTTTTTAAACGCTATAATTCTGCTGCTAGGCTCGTAGTGTTTGCGACTGTAGCAATGGTGCTGGCATTCATTACAGGCACATATGCTGTATTAGAACATTCACGAGCCCTAGCAATTGCAATTTGCGTTACTAGTTGCCTGTTCTTCGGGATTTTTAACGACTTAATTAAAGAGAGATTCAACATAGCAATAGAACTGTCATCTCTATAAAAACTACATGTGTTACAGTCCTCCTATCTAGTGTTCAATGTTCATATCTGATGAATAACATCAAGGAATGCATTCTTGATCAATAATGTATTTTGATATTAATTTCAAGTGTGAGATTGTAGGCTTGAGTTTGAGGGCACCCAATCTGTATTGATAGTGATGTAAATCAAGCCTGTGCGAGCATATGGTTCCATTGCTATTGTAATAATGTCTGATTGTCAACATAAATGCATTGCAATATATCAAATTTTTAGAGTGAATCTAGATTGTTTCTCAAAATACTTTGCTAGAGATATATTAGGCTTTTGGTTATATTTTTAATCAAGTTCTCACTCAAACTTCGAAATCATAGAGAATTTTTGGTATCAAAGCTCTCAATCACCAAATGTACTTTTTGCTCCATCTCATTTCTCATTTATTATTTTGTACTCAAAAAGTTAATTTTACGAGTAGTTGAGTAATAAGTAATTGCTTATCAGATGATTATTGGTTCACTTACGAAAGGGATTAGATTTAGTGGGTTGTCTTACAATTTTTTCTTTTGTAAGTTAATGGAATAGTAGTGCCCTGTATTGTGTTTTACTCCTAATTTCAATTGTTGTCTACCTAATGACTCACTTTTCAAGTCCAATGATGTGGCAACCAATTCGGATATCTAAGGCAACACTCCCTCTCATACTTTTCTTAATCATCAACCAATCATATCACTTACACATCATTGACTCTAAAAAATGAGTCTAAAACGTGGGCTAAGTTTGGTGAAATTGTTGATAGAAGAAGATGATGAGTTTAAATATGAAGCCAACAGTGCAGGTGAAACTCCACATCGCTGCAGAGAAAGGATGCCATGCAGTGGTGTCCAAAATCTTGAAACCTTTCAGAGCTCCGGCTTATGGTGGCCCTGGTGGTATAATTGCCTTGCACGCGGCAGTAATTTCTAACAACCAGGGTATTAGTCATTAATTTTAAATAAATTTTCTTTGGATTTTATTTATTTTTTTCTAGACAAAAAAATGGTGGATTCATATTAACAGATAATAGTATAAAACCCGTGATATGCATGGTCTTAGACATTAATTCAAAATTGTATTTTGAAAGTAAATGGTACATTGAAAAAAATATATATATTAACAAAAAGTAATCAATATTATGTATTTAAATTTAGCAAATCTGAAGTCATATATAGCACACATGCACACGTATTTGTTAAAATATTTGGATTGACTCGAACTTTATAATTTGTATAAAAATGCCCATTCTTGTGTTTGAATCATAAATTTGTGTAAAGAATTCACTATTCAGATACAACCTAAAGAAAATTGACTTTTTTTTTTTTTTTTTTGCCCAACGAAGGAAATAGCAATTATTTCAGTCAACCATGTAATGGTATGGGAAGGGTGTAAGGAACTGGAGAGAACTTTTGGCAGAAATATTGCTAAAGAAAATGAATGATTTTGGTTTTGATTTTGAATTTAGTTTTTTAATTTCTATTTAATTTATTACATTATATGCTCTGCATTTCATTTCAGGAAGCACAAAAACATTATTGGATTGGAAGAAAGATTTGGATTATTCATCATGGTATCAGAGCTTCGAGCATTCGCACCAATTTAATCTTCATTTCATTCAAAGAACTTTGATCTTCATCAAGCAGTTTCAATGGAGTCTCATTCTTCTTCTTCAACCATCCCTCCCAATCTTGAAATGTTAATCTCTAATCTAAGCTCACTTGTGACTGTCAAATTGGATAGTACAAACTTTCTCATCTGGAAACATCAGATGCAAAATATTCTTCGAGCTACTGATCTCCTGAAGGTTGTCAATGGATCATATCAATGTCCTCCAGCAATGATTCAAAATTCTTCTGGATCAGAGATTTCAAATTCAGAATTCATACAATGGCGTATGATCGATGCACATCTTCTGAGTTGTATAACTGCTACTCTTTCTCCAGCAATCTTCACAACTGTGATTCATCTTCAAACGAGCTTTGAGGTTTGGCTATCACTAGATAAGCCATTTACCTCGTTGTCTAGGTCACACATTCATCAGCTCAAGAACAAATTAAATTCAATATCAAAGAGTTCTGATTCAATGAAGTTTTTGTTGGAACAATCTTCTGTGTAAATAAAATAACAAGAATCAAATTCAAATAAAATAAATAAATTCTCCAGCAATCTTCACAACTGTGATTCATCTTCAAACGAGCTTTGAGGTTTGGCTATCACTAGATAAGCCATTTACCTCGTTGTCTAGGTCACACATTCATCAGCTCAAGAACAAATTAAATTCAATATCAAAGAGTTCTGATTCAATGAAGTTTTATCTTAGTCACATCAAAAGTCTTGTGGATCAGTTGAGCATGGCTTCATCCTTTGTTGATGATGAGGATGTGGTCCTCATTACACTGAATGGGTGCTCACGAAATTTTAAGGGGTAAAAGAAAAAAAAACTCACTCTTATAATAAAATAAATCTTTAATTTTTAATTTTTTTAATTTAAACCTTAATGTTTTAATTTGTTTTCAATCTAAACTATTTACTTATTTTTATTAAATAATCTTGACGAAAAAATAATATTTTAATCATTAAACTCAATATGAATAAATGATGAATGCATGTGTATTGATTATATTTATTTTTATTAATATTTGGTTTGGATGTCAATGACTGGGTGAATCGGTATTGTTTAAATTTATTTAAATTAAATTTCAATGTGAATGAATTAGATTCAAAACAACGAATTTGTGGATTGTTATGATCCAGGAATGTCACAAAAAATAGTTCTTAGTTATTTGCAACACCAAGACACTGTCACAAATACTTAATTATTATTTTACAATTTGTTTGTACTTTTTGAGACAAGGAAATTCGGTGGCTCACTCTCTTGCTAGACTGTCTCGCACTCTTCAACAGCAACAAGTTTGGATGGAGGAGGTGCCCCCATCACTGGATCAGTTCATTGCTTTGGATGCTTTTACTTGCTACTAGTAGTTGTTCTTGCTTTGTGCTTTTTGGCTGCTAGTCCTCATGCTTTTGTTTCCTTGGCTTTTGCAGTTCATGACTATGTAAAAAAAATAATCCGATCCTTAAAAGACTTTTAAATCTTAAATCTGTCCATTTTATCTAATAAATATAGACTATTAATTTTTTTATGAGCTAAATATAGAATTAATTACCAATCAGTCCTATTAAGTAAACTTAAATACTAATAGGTCCTATTGACTTTTGGAATGCACCAATAAGTCCTACAATATCTATATTGCCATTAAATTTATTCCCTCATTAAATTTCTTTCTTTTATTATCTTCTCTCTTTTTCTTCCATTTTTCTAGAAAAATTTTTATCTTCTTCTTCTCTCTCCCTACCATTCTTTCTAGAGAACTTCACACCACCACCATCTACCTCTACTGTTGCCATACTACAATCGTTTACCGCTATCGTTGCAACACCACCGCTATCTCGATAACCGTTCGCTCACTACTACCGCCGTCATTTTTCTATTATTACTTTCAATGTTATTGTTTAAATATTATTGGTAAAACTCACTAAATTATAACATTTATAATTATTTATTACATCTTAACAAGTACTAACATTTGCCTAAAAGAAAGGACTTTCATTGAAGCAAGGAATCACTCAAATCAATGGGCAAAATCTTTGTACACACAAAAAGGATGTGAAATAGTTAGTAGATTGAGGAGGACAAAAGAGGAGGTAAATTTTAAAAATTAAGCAAGATATATTACTTCACTGCATAAAGTGAATTGTAAAAGAATCCAATTAACAAACAGAAAAAGTGAAAGAAAATAGGACATTAACAGGATTGATTATAGTTAAGACTGCAAATGAAACAAGTTGTTTGTGAACTGATTTGGCTCGGCTTGTTAAGGGTTCAGTTTGACTTGACTCGTTTAGTAAATGAGCCGAGTTCAAGCTCGAACAAGTTAGACTCGTCAAGGTTTACTTATCTTTATTTAAATTATATAATAAATATATTATTTATATATTAAATAATATACAAATATATAAATAATATTTTTATTTAAATAATATAAATAAGAAAAAATATCTTATCAAGTTAAGCCAAACTCGAGTGTCATTAATATTAATGAGCCAAACTCAAGTGTAATTAGTTATCAAGCCGAGCTCGAACTCAATAAACAAGCTCAATAAGTAAACAAGTTAAGTTCTAACTTAGCAAAACTTGACTCAGAATGACTCATTTACAACCTTAATTACGGTTTTGTTTGGACTATCAATTTAGTTTTAGGTAGTGATTTATAGAAAGAAAAGAATAAAGAAAAGAAAAAAGAATAAAATGTGAAGTGGAATTTCACGCACTACAAGAACTTCACACTGCGGGGAAGATATATGCCAATGTACTTTCCAATTTTTAGTGGGCCATCTCTCAAACTTCAGAATAATTAAGGAGTGGTTTAGAATGATTTAAATAAGTGTATTTTTTTATTTTTTATGAAATATGAGTTGGGTATGGGTTGAATTGAAGTGATGTGATAGAGAGGTGATGTAACTTAAACAAGATGATGTGACTTAAATAAGATAGTGACGTTTTGACTTTTTTAAGTTATGGCAAACAAGATCTAATTCTAGTTCTAGTTACAACAGTGATTTTCAAATTTTAATGGGCCATTTTCTGGAACTTCAAAATTACTAGTTCTAGTTTTAGTTCCGGTATTAATTTTAAGGATCAGGCAATTTTCGGTCCGAAATCGGACCGGAATATATTATTGGATTCATAGGGTTTACAACGAGTGTAATTTCGATAATTTGAATCGTTCAATGTGTAAAACTCGTCGTGTATTTTATTTCTATAAAAAATTACGTCGATCAGATATCGATAGGTACTTAATCATATCGTATTTTTGTCAATGGTAAATATAATTTTAAAAATAAATTATTGACAAAAATATGTTCTGATCAAGTAGCTATTGATATCCGATCAACTTGATTTTTTACAGAGATGAAATACTCAACGAGTGCTACACATTAAACGATTTGAATCATCGAAATTGAAACCGTGGTGCGCCCCACGGACCCAATCTAGATCCTAACTTTAAATAACAATATTGAGATGCATGTTAATATTGGTGATACAATTAAATATCAATTTGTATTGAATAATATCAATTAATATATTTATTATTAATTATGTTGAAGATTCAAAATACAGACATATATAAATCAATACAATACATAATGACCAATATTTGAAACTATACTTTTGACATGCCTAAAGTCGACTACAAATCAACATCTAATTACTTTATTCATAGGCTCATAGCCTTCATTTTTAAGGTAATTATTGATAGGCTCATAGCCTTCATTTTTAGGGTAATTATTGAGTAATCTTAGAGTATTATATGGTATGGTATTGTGTGATGCTCTCAACAAATGGCATGGCGGAAAAACTTTAGGAGTAGAACAATATTGATCCACCTTATTAGGTAGTTAGAAGACAAGAAATAATATATGCAGTTTTTAATTGGCCAAGAACACCACGTAAGTAATATCATATGATATCCGAGGACCATTCAATAATTTTTTTTCATTTTAAGGATTGTTTTTCAGATACAAAGCTTTTCCATATAACTTGTGTTGAAAGTGTTGCTATGGAAATACTATATACCATGAAAAGTATTCCGAAACAAATGGTGAGATATGAGTTACACTTATTGGTGAGATATGAGTTACACATATAATGATTGTGATTGTTAGATTTTTTTTTTTTCAAAGTTGGTGTCACTATTATTCATGATGTAAAGTAGTGACCATTGTACGATTTGTGAGACTCATTTCAAGTTATATTTTGATGATCTAAACATTCAAATTTAGGAAACATCGAGAATAATGTACCTCTAAAAAAATAAGTTGATCGAATATCAATAGCTTTTTCATCAAATCACACCTATACGAAGAAAAAAAAAATGAGTATGTATGTATCAAATTGAACACAAAATTGATTTGAAGAAAGGTTATTAATATTCAATTAACTTGATTTTTTAGTATTTCTTCTCAAGAGTCTTAAAATTTGAACTGTTTAAATAAACAAAACAAGATACAAAATGAGTCCCACGAACTGCACAACGATCACTGCTGTACAGGACGCCAAATCTTTTTTTCCTCGTTAATTTTTCTCGGGGTTGTATTGTTGAGCATTGCTAACCTACTACATTGTTTAGCATTGCTAATCTACTACCCACTCCTCTCAATAAACAACATATATATATATACAAATGCAAAAGCAAGCTAATTAAGTTCCAAAAACAATATAGAGAGCAGTCAGTCATGGATCCTGGTTTATACAGAGCTGCAAAGGAAGGCAACATTGTTGTCTTGGAGCAATATGTTGACCAACTTGAATCCCAGGTCACCCCAAACAAGAACACTGTCCTCCACATTGCAGCCCAATTCGGCAATTCACAATGTGTCCGAGAGATCCTAAGCAAGAATTCGTCGCTGTTCAATCGTCAGAATGCAAAAGGCAACACCGCTCTCTTCATGTTGCAGCAAGGGAGGGACACTCGGACATAGTCAAATCACTCATTGAATATGCAACGTCACTGGATCATGATCAAGTAGCGATAGAAAGCGGCTCTGACATCACCAAGAAGATGTTGAGGGCAACAAATGATGATGGAGACACGGCCTTACATGACGCTGTGAGGTATCGTCAACCTGATCTTGTCAGATTAAAACCGTTCAAACCACGACCATTACCACAGCCATTACTACGACCAAAACCCGATCTGGTCAGGCTGTTGATTGAAGAAGATCCTGGGTTTACATACCGGGCAAACAATGCCGGTGAAAGTCCGCTTTACATTGCTGCCGAGAGAGGGTACCTTGAAGTGGTGTCCGATATCTTGAAAACTTGCAGAGCACCGGCTTATGGTGGCCCTGCTGGTAGAACAGCTTTGCACGCTGCAGTAATTTCTAACAATGAAGGTATGTATACGTAGCAGTAAAGCGAATCCATAATATGTGGCCTGTATTTTTATGCATCACTCAAAAAAGATAAAATTTAAATTAAAAAAATGAATATAAAAATTTAAAAAGATTAAATTTAGTATTATTGTTTTATATATTTTAACCATTTACATAAAGAAAAAAAAAATACTCCACAAAATGTTACAAACTCTTGTTAAAACTTCATAATTTCACCTACAAGAATGTGAAATGGTAGGGTGTCAATTTTTTATTTGTCACATGCTCGATTTTGTGAAACTCTACTTCTTATCACATCATTGTGGGTATATTTGGAAGTCTCAAATGTGAGTCTCTAGTGTTACTCTATACAAAAATCTAGGGTTATAATATCAAAGAAAAATTGAACAAATTATATTAGTGTTTCACTTAAATATTACTGTTCTTATGTTTTTAGTTGCAATTAATTCAATTATTGAGATTCAATTTTCAAGTAAGATCACTGATTGAGATTCAATAAATTTTTCTATATTGTCTAGGAAGTATAATTAAATAAAGTTTATTTTACTTTTTACTCCGTCAAATTATATATTTAGTCCCTAATTATAGATTGAGTCTACTAGGTCCTTAAAAGTATATAAATCAAAGTCTATTTAGGCCTCATTTGGCAATTTTAGCTAAAAGTCAAAAAGTTACTATAAAATCAAAAAGCCAACAACATATATCAAAAAGTTAAAGATTTCTTTTTTTCTCTACTTTTGCACATTTTTTCATAAAACATCAAAAAATCATCCCAAACATACTAGTTTTTTTTTATTCCCAAACGTGGCCTTAGTTCATGAACTATCGATTCAATCTATTAATTTCCTAAAGTATTTAATTCAAACCTATTTAGTCCCTGCAAAAATTATAAAAATAAAATATAAGCCATAAATATTATAAATTACTAAAAGATCCTACCTAATTAAGATTGTATTGCAAAAAATTAATTTCAGATTTTGTTTCAATTTAGTTTAATTGACAATGACATTAGGGTTATTACAAAAAAATAACGCTGGGTTAGTTGAGATTAATTGACTGAGTTGATCAAATGTATAATTTTGCTCCTAAAAACATGACTCGTGACGCTTATGTGCGCATGTTCTATAAAATAATGCTTTATTAGTTCTAATCAATTAGACTAAATTGAGACAGTAATGGTCAAATTCAAGCCAATTACAATTATAGAAATCAAAATGACACCAGGGCTAAAGAAGGATTACTAGTGTAATTTTCCCTCAGATCTATGAAGGAGGGATGGAAGGGTAGGGAATTGCTGAGAAAATTTTGTCCCCTTGTTTTAGGAAGACAGGAAGCATTTTCCTTGTTCAGGTGGTTTTCATCTTTGTTATTGCTTTTTGCTTAATTGTACTCCAGGAGGCACCAAAACATTGTTGGATTGGAAGAAAGATTTGGCCAAGGAACCAGACGTGCATAGCTGGACACCACTTCACTATGCGGCGCGGTTCGGTCATGTACAAAGGGCTAAACAGCTACTAGACTCGGATAAATCCATTGCATACCTTATTGCAGACCAAGATGATAATAAGACAGCTCTTCATGTAGCAGCTAGTCAAGGACATGTTAGTGTAATACAAGAGCTTATATCACAATGTCCTGATTGTTGGGAGATGGTTAATCATAAAGGCCAAAATATTCTTCACGTTGCAGTGGAGAATGAGAAAAAGATGGTGATTAAATTCATCTTAAAAAATTATTCACTCAGTGGCCTTATAAATCAGAAAGATGTCGATGGGAACACCCCTCTCCACCTCATTGCTACTGGTAGATTACTTGCAATCGACCTCATAGCGCACCGAAAAACAGATAAGGTTGTCTTTAACAAAGGAAACTGGACTCCCCTTGACATATCGACATATTCTGAAACCGCAGCTGTACAAAAGGTACATCGATGTCAACCCTCAATCCTATCCAGACTGCATAGTCACAGAAGCCTTGTACACACGACTGCAGGGCTGCTTTTTACTTTAATTCACTAAAGTTATTATTTAGATACAATGTTTTTCTAATTGATTGAAGAATGATTGTTGCAGGTTCTCATAAAAGAAGAATTGGAAGCAGCTGGTGCTACACTAGGTTTGCGAAATGTAATTAGCAAAGATAACGAGGTTTTAGCAAACGAGAAGAAAGAACGCGCTGAATTTAAAAAGTCGATACCCATTGACATCAGGAAAGCAGGAGACACCCATTTGATAGTGGCTACACTCATAGCAACTGTGACTTTTGCAGCTGGTTTCACCATGCCAGGTGGCTACAACAGCAACGATGGCCCAAATCAAGGCATGGCGATTCTAACAAGAGAAGCAGCTTTCAAAGCTTTTGTCGTAACAGATTCCATGGCCATGATATTATCCACTTGTGCTATTTTGGTTTATTTTGCTTCAGCTGATTATGGGGATCAAACTAAGCTTCTGTATCGCTATTCTCTCGCCGCTGGTCTTCTACAGATTGCAACAGGAGCCATGGTATTGGCATTCATTACAGGCATATATGCCGTATTACCACATTCATCAAGCCTTGCCATTCCAATTTGCATTATCGGTTGCTTCTCCTTCGTGATTTACTACTGCCTATTCAAAGAAAATTACCACAAGCAATTTGAAGCGATATCTTTTAATATTTGAACCCGTCTCCCGAATGCATTCAAGGATCGAACATCAAGGAAGGCATTTTCTTGAATGTACTTCTTTGTAGATTAATTTGTAGTAGTGTTGGATTGCATCTTTGAGTATGAGGGAACCGCAATTAGTATTAATAGTGAGGGAAATCAAGGATATACTAGCTTATGCTTACATTGCTTTGTAAAAGTCTCTGATTCGTAAAGTGACAATCATATATTTCTATGTTAAGTATTTTGATTAGCATATAACTATTTGCTATTTTGTACTTTTTGGGTATACATACTATTTTATCAAGAGAAATGAAGTAGAGTACAATCACAAAAAGCAAACCCCCATTAATTCCTGCAAGCAGGATGCCCCAAATTCAAAAATCAAAAGTGAACTCAAAATTCTGGGGATTATTTGAATATTAGATTAGTCCACTGCACATTAGACAGCAGATCATAGGCCTCAGTGTAAGTGTAACCCTGTGTTTGGAAATCAAATTAATGCCTCCAATTTTTATTCCTAGGTTATTATCTCTTCCACCCGTCACCTGTCCCATCTCTTAGCAGCTTCCCTCTAAGGAGTATATTAGATATATAAACTGCATTTTGGTCCTCAAAAAGAGTTCAGGACTACAGAGAACCGACCAAAGAACCAATCACATAAAGCATGGGTAGAACAATCTAAGTAAAACTGTATCTTTATAATGAATTCCACTATCTGATGTTTTATGTAATTGATTCTAAAATCATTCTTGTGTTATAGACTAGTTGTTTTCATAAATTCATAATTTAAACACAACTTAAAAATTCCCGTGAGAGGCTGGAGAATGGAGGCAGAGACCATCCTACAGTGATGCTCAAGTTAATGAATGAAACATACTGATAAATAACACAGCAGTAAATGCTTTGGCTATTGCTGATCCCAAGTACCCAACCACATAAGATTTGTAAACAGCCCACAAATCACCTTTTATAAGAAGCAGCTCAAAACTTAAAAAGGCTTAAGATGTGCAAAAACCATTTTGAATAACACTTCACAACAAAAGACTAGTCGTAATCAGTTTAAGCTGTCAAACATGTTTTTACATTGCAAAACGAGATAAGAAGCAGTGACTCAAGTAATGAGAAGCTTCACCTAAGAAACAGGTCCAACAGGTCCAAGAAAGTCGCCCTCCAAGCTTACCACTGCCTGAAAATCCTTCTCAGCCTCTATATACTTTGTCCCGATGACAATGAAGCGCACTGCCACCTCTTTCTCGATTCTGGACATCTTGTCATTCATGAAGATGGGATTTTCCCCAGGGACATACCGATAATCGCGCATTTTCTGATTCGAGAGGTAGATATTCTCAACGGGCCCACATCTCAAGAACACACCATGCTTCAAGATCTTGTGAACAACCCCTTCTAAGATCTCGCCCCTGTGAAGCTTGAAAGTGATGCAGCTGAAAAGTACAGGAAAGAGTACATCACCCGAATGCTGCCTAACTCTTCCTTCCCCAATGTTGTCAAGAGTGGTTAGTGCAAGAAAATAACCGAGCTCTTTTGTTGCCTTCTTCGTTGAGAAGTCATCTAAGAGGCGAATTATTATAGACTTTTGGAGCATAAGTCCTTTGGTGTCGAGGCTTTCAGCGGGAATTACGACATTCCAAGGCAGCTGCACCTTTAGAAACATCCTTACAGTTTCTGCTAGTCAAGATAAACAATAGAAGAATGTAACTCCTAGTAAATGTCCTACTATTTTCTGTAGTAAATATATCCCACAAACAAGATTCTAATATCATTTTGCTGAAAAATAATGGGAAAATTGTACTTCAGTGCATGTTTTTAAATAAATAAAAAATTACAAATCGGTGGTAACTTTATCAACTTCAAATTAAAGTTATAAACTTTTTCATGAATTTGTAAACATTTTGTGAAGACACCACTGATTTGCAATTTTCCCAAAAATAATCTTCCAACTCTGGAAATAAAAGCACCTAATGAGCTGCTTAGGATTGTTTTTGAATCCAATAACAAAAGCTTAGAAAAACGATGTACGACTTACAATTCCAGCCTTGAATCCAATAACAAAAGCTTAGAAAAACGATGTACGACTTACAATTCCAGCCTGCTTGGTGCCCTCTCTCAGGTTAAATTTTTATTTTTATTTTTTTTAAATGACAATTTAACGCATGAAAGACGTTGTTAAGTTTTGACTCTTAGCTAAGAAGCACAGGTACGGCTGGGGTAAGCTAATTTTTATTTTTTTAATTTTAAATTTATACCTAAACATTCAACATACAAATTAAATTCAATAACATAATTAAAAAGAGAAATTACCACAAAAAAAAAAAAAGAAAGTAAATCATACGACCTGTTTTAATGTCATTATTACATAGAAATAGAACAGAAGAAACTAGAAAAGAGAGTTTAAGCATTTGAGTGTCAATTCATGGTTTTCACAAATGATGGGGAATGAATTTCATTCAGCAACAATTCACATATTCACACATATTTAGCATAAAATTAAGTCTTGTTTTTGATGAAAAAAATGGGAAAATTGCACTTCAGCGCATGTTCTAAAAAAAATACAAATCGGTGGTAACTTTATCAACTTCAATAATTAAAGTTATAAACTTTTTGATGAATTTGTAAATATTTTGTGAAGACACCACTGATTTGCAATTTTCCCAAAAATAATCTTCCAACTCTGGAAATAAAAGCACCTAATGAGCTGCTTAGGATTGTTTTTGAATCCAATAACAAAAGCTTAGAAAAACGATGTACGACTTACAATTCCAGCCTGCTTGGTGCCCTCTCTCAGGTTAAATTTTTATTTTTTTTTAAATGACAATTTAACGCATGAAAGAAGTCGTTAAGTTTTGACTCTTAGCTAAGAAGCACGGGTACGGCTGGGGATAGCTAATTTTTATTTTTTAAATTTTAAATTTATACCTAAACATTCAACATACAAATTAAATTCAATAACATAATTAAAAAGAGAAATTACCACAAAAAAAAAAAAAGAAAGTAAATCATACGACCTGTTTTAATGTCATTATTACATAGAAATAGAAAAGAAGAAACTAGAAAAGAGAGTTTAATGCCAAAAACAAGCTAAACAAAAATAAAAGAGGAGACAAAAATCTGGGAAAAAAATGAAAAAAGAAAAATCTGGACAGAACAAAGAGAGTTTAATTGTTCTTCGTTTGCTGCCAAGGAGTAGTACAAAAAAATCTGGAAAAAAAAAGAAAAAAGAGGAAACAGAAATCTGGACAGAACAGAAAAAAATCTGGACAGAACAGAAACCTGGAAAAAAAAATGAAAAATGATGTATCTTCGTTCTTCGTTTGCTGCAAAGAAACAGAAAAAAAAAATCTGGGAAAAAAAAATGAAAGAAGTGGACCAATCGAAGAACAAAGAGATCGAAGATGGACAGAACAAAGAAAAGGAAGAAGAATCGAAGAAGAAGAGTAGGAAAAATCAAAGATGAACTTTACCGGAATGTGATCTTTGAAGGAGAGAATCGATCAGCACCTTCAATTAAACCTCTTCAATAGCTTCGATGGAGTTCTTCAGACTCTTGGGAGTCTCTCTGTGTTTCTGGAAAGAGAGAGACAATCGAATAGTAAGTTGAAGCTTGATGTGTTACGGTTCTTTCCTTTTTCTCCTATTGACAATATATGTTATCCTGGACAGTTGTTCATCATAACTAGCTAGTTATATACTTCCTCCACTAAAGAAACTGAGGGAAGTAGGAATAAATCTTTTGGACCTCTAAATTTAGTGAATTGTGGCAAAAAATGCAACAAATTTCAAGGCATCTATTCGGAAGTATAACTTGGTAGGTATTAGGGGAGAAATTCTTTCAGTTTCAGATTTTGAAGCCTGATTCTTATATTTGTACAATTTCACACGTGTTCTAGTATATTTCCTTTGGTTCATATAATACATTTGTGAGGTTAAAGAACTGAGATTCAAGGTAGATTTAGACATCTTGAGCCATGACCACTAAAAAAATGAAACTGAATTGATGGTTAAAAACTCAGAATAATCAATGGAAATAAGGAATTACTTATCATCTGTCTAACAAAGGATACATGCACCCATTCTGCTCCTTTTGATACCACCCTTAAATTGATTGACCCTCTACCTATTAGGGACATTGATTTAAAAATTTGAGGAAACATCTTGCTTCATTTTCCTCAAATTTTTTATGCTTGTAGAGCACCCACTCAATCTCCTTTTCCTTTACAAATTACAATTGTCTTGAACAAAAAGTTGTCTTGTGCTCTCTCTAAAGCCCAACAACAATAAAAGTAAGAGTAAAATGCCGGAAAAACATGTAACACATGTTTCGTGGCTTCAAGTATTGGCATCAGACTCTATACCGCTGAGCATCAATTATATGAAAAGATATGCCCATAAGTTATAAACAATATCCTTTCCTTTTACTATTATCTTTTTTTTAAAACATGTGTTAGACTCTCTCTTTGGCCCAACAATCCAAGGACCATGAAAATGGGGGATGAAAGTAACAATGTTACAAAAAACATACAACACATACACAATGGTTTCAAATAGTGGCATCAACCTCAATTTGAGAATTACAAACAAACTCGGGATTAAAAAAGAACATATGGTTTAAGGTAGTTGTACACAAAATATTAACAAAAACAAACAGATAAAAATTTACACCCAAAAAAATTGAACTATTGCATTTTTAAAAATTGGGTTTACATCTATAAATACACATTATACACAAGGATAGGATTTTCAGTACACCCACTTGGAGAAAAGGGATATATCATGTATGCTATGAAGCACGGACACCTCTCCGAGGACTCCGTACCAGTGTCAGACACGTGTCGGACACGGACACACGTCAGAAACGCGATGGACACGTGTCCGACACGCATGGGAGAGTGTCCCATTTTTTTTTAAATTTTTTTACATCCGGACACGTTTTGGACACGTTATAGACACGCACGGGGGCAATTTCACAATTTACTAAATTTTTATGGGGTCGATTTGAAAATAAGCAAAAATAGATCAAATTTGCCCTAATCTACTATTCGCCCTAATCTACTTTGAATCGACTTTCGAATAGAAGATAAGCAGCAGAGAAAGGGTGAGAACGAGAGAAAGAGAGAGGACCTGACTTCGTCGTTCGTCTTTCGTCTTCTCTCGTCGATCGTTGCTCCTCGTCGGTCGTCTGTCGTCGGTCTACGATCTTCTTTGTTCGATCTGCGATCTTCAGTCGATTTTCTGCTTCGTTAAGGTACGACTCTTCTTTGATCTTCTTCGATCGCTCTCTCTCTCTCTTCGATAGCTCGCTCGCTCTCTCTCTCTCTCTCTCTCTCTCCTCACAATTTACTTTGCCCTTATTTCATTTTTTTCTTTTGTTTTATTTTTTTTTTATTTCGATTCTGATTTTTATTTTATTTTTTTCTTTTATTTTTTTTCTTTTATTAATTTTATTTTTTCTTTTCTTTTTCTTTAATTCTGATTTTGTTTTATTTTATATTTTCTTTTCTTTTATTTTTTTTATATTCTGATTTTATTTTTTCTTTTATTAATTTTATTTTGTATATTTTATTACCTTTATTTGATTTTTTTTAATAATTTTATGACATATAATAAATAAAATTAATTATATATATTGAACGTGTCCCCGGCGTGTCGCGTCCCCTATTTTTTGAAAATTTGCGTTTTTGCGTGTCCGTGTCGTGTCGTGTCCGTGTCGTGTCGCGTGTCCGTATCCGTGCTTCATAGCATGTATGTCACCAATCCTCAGTATGTGAGGTTGTTGGAAAATAATGATTTTTCAGCAACTTTAATTTGAAATTAAAGTGGAACTAAACCGCCGGTTGAAGTGAGTCTGAGTAGTTTTGTATTCTCTCAAGTGAGAAGATTACAATATAAAATGATGGGCCGAAACCATTAAATTGTGAATAAGAATTGTCTCATAAAGTGGGTATCAATAAAAGTTGGGCTTAAATTTGGACTTAGTCTTCGTTTGGACTGGGCCTAGGCTTGTGCTTATATATGTGCTGGGTTTAGTCTTAGACTTAGACTTGGACTTAAACTTAATCTTGAGTTTGGGCTAAGCTATGTTGTGTTGGGCTTAGCATGTGCATGTGTTTGAGAATTGGGTTTGGATCAGGTTGTAACTCAACATTAGTATCCATTGTGTGCCCCATCTAGTAGGTTTATTCAAACATCATTATATACATATTATTTGTATATATTAAGCACATGGGAGGTTTAAACCTTTGTAACTCTCATTTTTTGATGATGGAGTTGATGACCATATTAGTGACCATAGATTTTGAACCTTTGTAACTCTAACCCTAATGACTACAGTTGATGGCTTTGGTTAATGACATTTGGTAGCCCTATTGATGTATAACCTTCATGGTTCGGGATTCCCCTACTCCTCCAAATAGGAAGAATAATTTTGGAGAGATTTTTTATGGAAAATGGAGATGGTGTTTGGAGATAAAAAGTAGGAGATGTTTTTTTCTCCCAAGAAAATTTTTCCTATCTTCTTTTGCTAGCCTCTTCTTTGGTTCTTGTTAGAAAGAGTGCAACCATTGTCAAGTTTGCTAAAGCTATTCAGAAGGTCCTTCTACATTAACTAGTTTCGACCATCGTATCTTGAAAGACAGACACCAGCATACCTCCAACATCCATCGGGAGGTGGTGAATCTATTTTAAGGAAACTGTCAAGTGCAAACTTCGATTTGTTTCTTTTCTTATCATTTGTTCTTATTTTTTCAAAAATTTAGTTTACAAAGATGAGTTCTAATCTTTAGTTATCCATGTTAATAATTTGTTCTATTAGTAATATAATCTAATTCATTTCTGTATTTTTAGTTGTGTATTCTATTTTGTATTTCATTCTTTAAATATAAAAAATAAAAATAAAAAATTTGTTTTGTCATTGCTATTTAATTTATTTTATATATTTTTCTTGTATTATTATGGAAAAATACCAACAAAGGCTTGTTAACTTGAGTTGTGTATATATTCATATGTATTGTGTAGATAGAACAGCTAAACAAACAAGCAAACTTTGAAGGCCCTCAATACTTGGACCAAATTTCCAGTCCTAAGAGCATCAACAGCAACTTAGCTAAAAGTTCATTTTCACTACTTTAGAGAGCATCAACCGACAAAAGCAGCTCCAACAGCCTCGGCAGAAGCTTGCTACTTTGACAAATGCTACAGTAACTCACTGAAGTTGACAAGTTACTGTACACAAAGCTAATTCATTTTTTATTAGTTTCAAGTCTCCTCTATCTCTCTCAAGCTTTGTTCTGCACTTGTAGTGTTTCAAAAAATAAATAAATAAAAAGAAAAATATTTTAAGGGTTCATGGTTAATGTAGAGAGCATTGTTAGAATATATATTGAAAAAGTGACTAACTAAAATAGAAAAATGAGATTTTGGGTAGCTATTGAAGCTAACATTGCTACAGATGCTCTAACATCTCATCAAATTACCTTTTAAACCATCACAACAAATAGATGTGATTTAGTCATAAGACCCTAAAAACCCCCAAATTTCTAAAACCCTAAAAGGCAATAACAAAAAGATTGCAACCATGGCCTTGAAAAAGGTTCAAAACCAAACCCTAAAACCAAAAACGAAAGAAACAAAGAAGATTGAGGGCATTAATATGCAACTTTGCTAGCAATCCAAAACCTCAAAAATATTACAAAAGCATAAACACGAAAGCCAACATATCAATACTCACAACTTTTGAACTGTACATTAAGATTTACAACAAGAAAAACATAGAACCCGAAGAACATTTCCCCAATTAAAACAATAAAGACCCAACTACAGATTCAAGAAAGAACCAAAAAAAAAAAAAGGTAGTAGTAAATATTGATTTTACTTGACTATTTTTCACAATGTGCATTACATTTAAGGATATCACAATGAAAAGAAAGTGGGTTTTGATGGAAGACCTGATCAGAAGAAGAATCGTCCGGGTGGTCTTGGTCTGCTGCTTGTTTCGTGATTCCAGGTTACTAGTAAGAGAGTGATTCTACGCGATTGTGAGCGAGAATCGAAAAGAGATGGGGAGAGAGAGAGAGAGAGAGGGGGGGTAATAGGAATGTATTTATGTATTTATAATTTGGACGGTCTTGCTGGGCAGCATTGGGCCTTGATTCGGAATTGGGATCCTCCCCTTGAGCTCCCTCCTTCATTCCCTCCTTGCAGGAGCTTTCGGGTCCACTTTGAGGCCTAGTTTTGATAATTCGAACCGTTCATATTTTTAGATTTATTCAGTATATCATACCTGTAAAAAATCAAGTTGATCGAATATCATAAAGTATGTGTTCGGAAAACTGTTTATTAAAAAATAGTTTATAGTCCCAATTTTCTGAACGTATACTTTCTGATATCCGATCAACTTGATTTTTTACAGGTATAATATACTGAATAAATCTAAAAATATGAACGGTTCAAATTATCAAAACTGGGCCTCAAAGTGGACCCGAAGGCCCCTGCAAGGAGGAAATGAAGGAGGGGCTCAAGGAGGGGATCTGGACTCCTTGATTCGGGTCCATTTTCATAATTTAAATGGTTTAATATATAAAATTTGTTAATTATATTATTTTTATAAAAAATTATTTTGATTAGATATTAATAGTTACTTGATTATATTTTTGTTATAATTTATTTTGAAAATCATAATTGTCGTCAATAGAAATGTGATCCGATCAAGTAACTATTCAGTGTGTTTGCTTTGAGTTTTTTGAATTAAATTTTTTGAAAGCTCAGTTTTTTGGTTTTCGTATTTTTTTGTTTTTAGTGAATATTTTTAAAATTTTAAACATTTTTTTTACTTTTTTAGACGCACCTTACTTAGATGTATCTAAAAAGTAAAAAAATTGTGAAAAAATATTTTAAAATTTTAATAAATACATGAAAATATAAAAAATGTACTGAATTCTCGTATTTTTTTTATATTTTTGGTAAAAATTCACAATTTTTTTACTTTTTAGGTATATTTATGTTAGGTATGTCTAAAAAGTAAAAAAATTGCTTAAAATATTAAAAAAATTCAGTAAAAACAAAAAAAATAAAAAAAAAGAAAGTAGAATTTTTTGAAAAGTATTTTTGAAAAAACACAACCAGGCATGGTGATTGGTATCCGTTTAAAGTGATTTATGTACTGAATTCTCGTATTTTTTTTATATTTTTGGTAAAAATTCACAATTTTTTTACTTTTTAGGTATATTTATGTTAGGTATGTCTAAAAAGTAAAAAAATTGCTTAAAATATTAAAAAAATTCAGTAAAAACAAAAAAAATAAAAAAAAAAGAAAGTAGAATTTTTTGAAAAGTATTTTTGAAAAAACACAACCAGGCATGGTGATTGGTATCCGTTTAAGGTGATTTTTTATAAAGATAATATACTCAACGAGTTCTATACATTGAACGATTTGAGTTATTGAAATGGACTTGGATTAGAGCCCACCACGGCACAACAGATCTGTCCAATTCAATGACGGACTGAAGAAGTGCCATTTCTTATAATTTATTCAAAAAATAAAAACTCAAAATTTGACTTTAATAACAAATCAAACCTAATTTTTTAATTTTTTTTTTTAAAAAATGATTACCTAAAAGTCCAATTTGGTGAGGTTGTGCTATGATAAATCTCCTGTAATTATAATTAGGAAAATTTAGGCAAAACTCTTCCATTAGACCTTTGTTTGTGAAAATACAGCTTAATTTATTTTGTTTCATAAACCCCCTAAAAAGGATACGCACAATTAAGTAAAAAAAAAAAAATAAAGAATATTGTTAGAGTTATATGTTATTATGAACCAAAGTAATCTGCTACTGTGAGACAAAATAACATGTTATTGTTTACATCAATTTTGAAGGTAATAAATTTTTTTTTAAGAATTTTATAGTCAATATAGATTATATTTGATAAATCTTGATGAGAGAATTCTAAAAATATTAATTTTATTAAAAAAAAAGACATGTAGATTAAAATTTATATTATTTTAAAATTTAATATTTTAGTAATAGTGGTATGTGTTGAACTTTTTAAGAAAAAAACTTTGTGATTATTCCTAATGCATTAAAGTTTTATTATGAGAGGATTTTGACCAAATCCCCCAAAATTTTATTCCAAGAAATCTTTCTTTTCTAACTATTTTTGTTGTTACATGATTTTGCTCCCAATTATAAAAAAAAAAAAAAAAAAAAAAAAAAAAAACAACGAACACACAAACAAATTACACTAATGGTTACTATAGTTTAGGTGTTGTGTCACTTTGGTCCTTAACCTTTCAATTATAATCCGTTTAATCTTAAATTTTGAATCTTGCTCCAAATAAAGATAATTGATTATAATGTTGCTTCATTTCAAGGGAAAAATCGTTAATTTGATAAAATATAAACTAGTTTGACAAAAATAAATGTCAACAAATTATTTTTGGATTTTTAAAAATTATTTCTACTGACCAAGATAAAATTATATAAAAATGATAAATCTTTTACATTTTTAATTTTTTTTTTACCAAATTAATTTTTAGTATGTATTTGTATGATGATCATGTAATGGGTGTTTTTTTTTTTTATGATTATCATGTAATAGATTGTTGTATTTGTTGTTAAAAGATAGTTTTTGGATAGTTATTAGGCTTTTAATGTGTAATCAACATGTTTAATATATGAAATATTTTTAATTTTGAATTTTTTTTTTTAATGGATTGATTTAATAATGACATCAAAATTATCACCATATTTTACTTTTGAAAAAATAAAAACTAATTTAATGAAAATAAATATAAAAAAAATATTTTAAAAATTTATTCACCTTGCTTGTTTCCATTTTTCAAAAAACACTTTTCAGAAAATTCTACTTTCTTATTTTTTGTATTTTTTTGTTTTTACTGAATTTTTTTAATATTTTAAGCAATTTTTTTACTTTTTAGACACACCTAACATAAATACACCTAAAAAGTAAAAAAATTGTAAAAAATCTTTTAAAAATTCACTAAATATCAAAAATACAAAAATTCAGCACATTTTTTGTATTTTTACGTATTTATTAATTTTTTAAAATATTTTTTTACAAATTTTTTACTTTTTTAGATACATCTAAGTAAGGTGCATCTAAAAAAGTAAAAAAATGTTTAAAATTTAAAAAATATTCACTAAAAATAAAAATAAAAAAACACGAAAACCAAAAAAGTCAGTTTTTAATAAACTTAATCCAGAAAACTCATACTAAATGCACTGATTTCTACTCTCCCAAAAGATAAAATTATATAAAAGTAATATGTTTTTAATTTTTTTCACCAATTTAATTTTTAATTTCTTAGAAAAAATTTCTAAAAATAGATTCTGAAAAATAAACCAAATATAACTTTATAATCAATAAAGTTTTAACATTATTCATTAAAAAAGAAAGTCATTACATTTCAAACAACATACAAATTAAGGGAAATTTTATTTTCATACACCAAGTTTCCTTACTCCACACACTTGATGAATTTTTTCAGAATTACAATTTTATCCTTTAACAAAATTACTATCTCACCCACCACCATCTCACCCACACATCTCACAATTTCTCCATGCACATCTCACCCCAATATTGCCTCCGAGTTGCCTTGTAGAGAGAGTCAAATGATGTCAACTTCAGACCCATCTATCCCAGTCAGCATGAATGATGAAAAGAACAATGTTTCTTTTAATTCAATTCATGGAATGTTATTGTAGTTAAGCTCTCTTCTGGAAAACAATTGTAAGAATCTCACTGATTTTGCTAAGAAAGATCAGATAATCGGGGACTTGCTCCAAGTTCTTGTGATGTGTTCATGCATTGAAAGACCCAGATTGTGCCCTTGCCTGACCATCAATTGCTACTTCTTAAAGGTGCTAGATAACATGCTCGGTTTTACAAGAACATGCCATATAAGCAAAAATATGCGACCGGTGATGATCGCGATGAAAGTGATGGTGACGAGCGATGGCTAAGAGGCTAGGAAGGGGCGGTGGTTGATGTCGTCACTGCGGCCATCGTCGGTAGCTGGTGTAGTTAGAGTTAAGGTTTTTGCAGTGAGAAATAATGAAAGGAGAGGATGTGCACAAAGAAAGTGAAGATATATTTGGAATGTGAAGTGTGTAAACTGAGATAAAGAAGTAAAAATCAAATTACTAAATGTGTGGATTGAGAAAAGATGTACATAGAAATAATTTGGTGTGTGGAAATAGAATTTCTCACAAATTAACCAATACAAAATAAGTTGTATCACAATTTTACCCTTGAAATGGACCATTTGCAAAAGAAACATCTTTGATTATCCTTATTTTGAATAAAATTCAAAATTCAGGATTATATATAGGGTGATTCTACTTACACTACTAGTTTACCTCTTTACACCTTCCATATGAGGTTTTTTTTTTTTTCAATTTTATCTATGTGTGAAATTACCTTTAAGGACAAAACACTAAAACTAAATATATTTTATTATCTCCTTACACCCCTTGGTCTTCCATCTCTACTTTTCTTTTTCCTTATTTTTTTTCTTTTCTCTTACACTTTTGTTGTTCAAAAAGTGAGAATCATAGTATTTTGATCACTAAAGAAAGCAATGGATGAAGAAACGGTGGTGAAGAACAATCAAAAAAGTAAAATGGTGAGTTTTTTTTATTTAACTGGTAGGTTTTTGTTTCGTTTTTCTGGACTGGTATTCGAATTTCGTTCGGTGGTTCGAAATCAAACAAAATAAAATAGTCCGACATTACATTGTCGAACAAAAAATATAAGTCTGGTAACCAGCTACTTAATAAATGATACATTTTCGATAACCCCAAACCAAATTTTTTTAATTTATTCGGCTTCTCATTACCATGTATTTTCAGTTTTATTTTTTATTTTTTATTTTTTATTTTTTTTGCCTGGAAGGATTATACTTATACTCATTGCAACAACGTAAATACTGTAATTTTAGTGGACTCTAGTCATAAATTCATTACAGACGAGGTTTGTTAAGTTTTTTTTATGAATACAATTTTTTCTTATTTTTAATTTGTATTGAGTTGTATTAATAATTTGACGTATAAATGTATTTATTATCTTTAGATTTTTTGTAGT